AAAAGTTTATTATTATTGTGAAAAGACATAAAGAGAAAAAACTCCGAACGTAATTCTGCTAAGAAAGAGCTTTTCATAAAAACACCGATTTATTTCGAAAATTAGAGCTAAAAAGAGAAAAAAACAAAAGACAAAAAATAAGAAATAAAGTTAAAAAATTTATGATAAAAAATAAATGACAAGAGGTATGTAAATGATAGAAAGCAAAATATGAAACGTACGTAAAAGACAAAAGATAAAAAGCCTATGATAAAAGGTGAAAGATAAGAAATAAAAGAAGGAATGAGAATTCTAACATATAAAAGATAAAAAATAAGGGCTATAAGAGCTAAAAAGCTAAGAGACAAAATACTGAATATAAAATATAAAATATAAAATTTAAAATATAAAATTTAAAATATAAAATATAAAATATAAAATTGAGGGATTCACAACGGTGTCGTAAGTGTCGAATTGTTGTATGTCGTAAACATTAAAAGCTCAAATAAACGTTCATTGAATTTTAAACCACGACCAACTGTTTTTCAACACTACGAAAATTCATAATATAACTTTTATGGTACTTTTCGAACCCCTTAATATATTTTTAAAGCGTTTAAAGTTTACGATATACAACAATACGACACTTACGACACCGTTGTGAATACCCCAAATATAAAATATAAAATATAAAATATAAAATATAAAATATAAAATATAAAATATAAAATATAAAATATAAAATATTAAATATTAAATATTAAATACAAAGTATAAATTATAAAATATAAAATAAAAAAGATCAAAAACACAAAATATAAAATATACGCGATATAGATCAAATATAAAAAATTTAAGATTAAATTTAAAAAATATAAAAATGTTAAGCGATATAAGATAAAAAATAAATGATATAATGCAAAAGTGAACAAGAAAAATTATAAAATGTAAAAGACAAAATATAACAGATAAACGATAAGCGATAAAAAATAGGAGATAAAATATAAAACATAAAACATAAAAGATAAAAGGTAAAAGGTGAAATATGAAATATGAAAGATAAAAAATACAAAACCAAAAAATATCGTATGGTAATAGCAAAGTGCTCCCGAAAAAGTTCCAAACTAGTCCCTAACTCGTCCTGAACTAGGTCCGAAATGGTGCCGAAGTTTACCGAAAAAGTCTTGAATTATTTAGTCCCGAAATAATCCTGAAAAAGGCCAGAACCAGTCAATAATTGAGGTCGATAAAGTTCCGAACTATATTAACGTTGTTGCTAGAACAGTATTTTTTTTTTCTCATTTGTACTCATTCAGAATTCCTCTTGCTTTACATATGAAGGTGCAAGCAAATTTTGCCAATACCGGGAGCAAAAATGCTTACACATCAATAAAAAATAAAAATAAAAGTTAAAAGCAAAAAGTTGAGCGATAAAATATAAAGGGTAAGAGTAAAAACTAAAAAGTAAAACGGCAGAAATAAAACTAAAAATAAAATAAAAGAGCGAAAAATGTTAAAGTTAAAAACAAAATAAAGAATACATCTACTAACTAGTAATAAAAAACTTTCCAAACAAACAGTAATCATATGCTGCTGAAATGCCAACAGACCTTCACATTCGCATTTTCTGCTTCAAAGAAGTCATATTTATTGCCAAATAGGATAACATCACGTCCACTTCATGCATGCATACTTACATACATACATATGTATGTACAAACAAATGTCAACACAATAACACGCAAAGGGAATTTATTTATTATTGATAGACGAGCCGAAATTTACAATATGAGAACATCGCAATATCACATATGTATGCCAGCAAAGGCTGGCGGCCCTGAAGGCAGCTATGGAAATGTTCACTCAACTACAAACTAAGTAACTAAAGCAACAACTATTCAAAAGCTTTCATACATACATATTATAGTGTTGAACATATGTTGATATGTATGTATGTATGTATACAACGCGAGCGACATGAACAAAAATATATGTATTCCACTGATAGATATGTATGTAATACTCTTTGCCTACATTTGGGCGAAAATACCCGAAAATTGAGTAGCTTCAAAATGGAATGGCACAATAAGTGAGTAGTAGTAGACAAAAGGAAGCATATTAAAGGCGCATTACAGTACGACGAACAAAACAAAACAAAAAAAAAAAACATGGTCGACAATAAATTTTGAACTAACGCTTACTAGTAAATTCACATAAGCCTGTTATTGTGTGGCCATATAGCTGCCGGGCAACCGAGCACATAATAATAATAATATTGCGTTCATGGGCAAACGAAGGATATGCTATGCAGCGCCATGTGCGATGCTTAGTTTTTATTCTTTCGCATTTCATTGCAAGCATATGTAAACACATTATTTAGTTAAAGCCAAAATAAATAAGACTAAAAGCAGGTTTTGGATTTCGTAGTTGTAGGTTGGATGGAGTGTTTTGGTGCAGAAATTTTTTGTTTTTTTAATATTCTCCACTACAATAGCTTTTATTTGACATTGAAAAAGCTACTCGGTTTTGTATATTTACGCGAAAAAAAAACTCAATAAATGCAAATGTACATATGTATGCATATATAAAGTACATTCATATGTAAATACAACTCTGTATACCAATTTCTGTGTGACTTCGAATATATGTAGACATCTGTGCTGGTTTCGATACATTTTTGCATATTTATAGCATTTTTTAATCACCTGGCATGTGTGTATGTTTGCTATTGACTTAATTAGCATATCAATAGATACATATGTAGATATCTGTGTATGTATGTTTGCATATAAATTCAAAATAATTTTTTAGGTTTTCGATTTTACTTATTTACCTTCATCTTATGTTATTCGTACTTTTATTTATTTGGTATCCATTATTTGCGAATTCGTTTTGATATTATTTTTGAAAACAGATTTTATTTAATCCTTAATACACTCACACCATACCATTTACCTTCCTATAAATAAACCAATTGCATAGCTGTTAGTCCCAGTGTAACGTTTAGTGTAAACCACAATAAAAATATCNGATACATTTTTGCATATTTATAGCATTTTTTAATCACCTGGCATGTGTGTGTGTTTGCTATTGACTTAGTTAGCATATCAATAGATACATATATAGATGTCTGTGTATGTATGTCTGCATATAAATTGAAAATAATTTTTTAGATTTTCGATTTTACTTATTTACCTTCATCTTGTGTTATTCGTACTTTTATTTATTTGGGATCCATTATTTGCGAATTCGTTTTGATATTATTTTTGAAAACAGATCTTATTTAATTCTTAATACACTCACACCATACCATTTACATATACATATTTACTCGCTGCTAACCTTCCTATAAATAAACCAATCGTCGCATAGCTGTTAGTCCCAGTGTAACGTTTAGTGTAAACCACAACAAAAATATTTACATAAATATTTAAACATATCCATACAAAGTAATAATTGGAAATGAAGCGAGTTGGATTTTCTGTATAGTAAGTTAGTAAAGTTAAGCTTAAAATAATATAACTCATTCCTTAGCATATTGTAAATACGCAAATTATAAAAAAAAAATATTAAAGTATTTACATATAAATTTACAAAAAGCTTTTTCCTGCTTTTGTGACTAACTTCTNGAAGCGAGTTGGATTTTCTGTATAGTAAGTTAGTAAAGTTAAGCTTAAAAAAAATATAACTCATCCCTTAGCATATTGTAAATACGCAAAATTATAAAAAAAAATATTAAAGCATTTACATATAAATTTACAAAAAGCTTTTTCTTGCTTTTGTGACTAACAANAAAAGCCATTAATTGCCATTCAGCGGAAAAATCGATTATTAACATACTTCCTAAGTGCGCCATTTATTCACCAATGACCGACTCATTTTTATTATTCTGTTTTCCTTTTTTCCTTAATAAAAATAACTCAAACCTCACTCATTTCCAGTTTAACACATATGCCATTTTTCCGAAATCAACTAACTACAAAATTATCCATTTTTGTCATCCTTTAATTTTTTTTTTAAATTACCATAGATTTATTTATTCAAACTCTACTTGAAAACTCACTCACTCAATACACACTCATTCCAGTTTCACTCCTTCAAATATGTAATTTATGAACCTTCGAACAACTGTAGGGCAATCATTTATTGGCATTTTCTCAATGCTATCAATTCATGTACTCAAGCACCTTTTAAACACTCACTAAAAAAAAAATCTCAAAATTTGCCAATTTTCAGTTCCACTTGTCTAACTGTGAACTTCAAAGCTACCCATTATTGGTATACTTCTTTCTGTCTTTTTTTCCTTACTTAATAGAAAAAACTCAAAGCTCACTCATTTCTGGTTTCATCCATTCAATTGTCATCCATCGCTTAACTGTGAACTATCAATTAGTTCCACATTTTTTATTTCCTTTGTTTTATTCTTCATTTCCTTACACGAGCACTGCTCAAGACCTCAGACAATGAAAACCCCAGTTTTTTCAATTTCAATCACTTCATCTGTTTTTTGGGTTTTTTTTAATCAATTAAAGACCTATAACCCCTTCGTCAACTCACTCATTCCTGGTTTCAGTTCCACATAGTAGTATAACATTTTATTTACTCCTAATCAGAGTATTTACATATAAGCCTAGTCCAAAAAAAAAATAACCAAAAAAAAACTCACTCTATAAAATACTCACTCAAAAAAGACTCAATTACCAAAAATGGATGACTCAAATCACCTACTTTTTTACTAATCACTTGCTTATTTAATAGCTCAAAGGCTTTTAAAAATAAGGAACGCGGACTCCAGGTTCTTAAGTTTCAATAAATTTGTTTCAAAAACTCCTCGCCTTAGATCCCGAATTTACTCAATCATCGCAAATACACTCCCTTACTTTTGACTCCATAGATCGTATCTATTTCAAAACTCACTCAATGAAGCCACTCACCTACTCGTACCAGGTTTTGCTCATATTAACAAATTTCTCTAACAAAAATTATGCTTACATAAAAAGTTACTTCTTCGTCCCCTTTAGCCCCACACCCTTCTCATTTTACATTTAGAATTTATTAATCAACATGGATTTCTCTTTCACTCCTCCAACAGCGGCGATGGCAGCGTTCAACAAACCGAAGTTTCGCATCCCACACAAAATCCCATTTGGAATGCGACACTCAGCTTTCAGCACGTGAATGCCGACAGCCTCATGGATCGCTACATTGACATACAGTTGTGGGATTTAGTGCCGCATACAGAGTCCATATTTCTGGGCGAATGTAATATTGAGCTGCAGCAGGCTTTTATCGACGATCGCGCCATATGGTGTCGACTGGACGATCCGAAGGGGCTGCGCGGCATCAGCATGTCCAAATCGCCGAGCGTCTCACCGCGCGGTTCCATTGCCGCCGGCTGTCCGGGCGGTGATGTAACGCGTCTATTGCGACGCGATTACAATATGCAACGTTCCATATCGGACGATGTCGATTCGATCGGCGATGGTACATCACTACTGCATCCCGACACCGCTTGGGTGGCTGGCTCACGGCGTGGTTCCTCGCAGTCGGAGACGCTCGAGGTTGAGGTGTATCAATTGGGTAAAGATTTTTCGCGGTCGTTGCCGGGTTCGCGACGGTCGTCGTTTCAAGATCCCGATAAGATACGCGAAGAAGATGCAATGGCCACGCCACCAGCCTCATATTATGTGGGTAGACGTCGTTCGTCGGTGGCGCGTCGCGATCCTGATGAGATATTGAAATCGTTGAAAGCGGTGCGCGGTGAGCTGGGACGCGCAATGAGTTTGGGCACAGAGCAACAAAAGCGAGCGGGATCGAGACGTAAGTGTTTTTTTTTTTGGAATTTGGGGATTGCATAATATTTATGTATGTCTATGTGTGAGACGTAAATTTAAGTGAGCGAATTGAGAGCGGTACTGAGCTTTATTCAAGCACTGCATGTGAAGTTTTTCGAAAGTACATATATTTAGCGCAGAAACTACTAGAATAAAGCTCGCATGTAAAGCTTCTTAAAGCTTTTTACACATTTTATATGAGCGCATAGAGTGGGAAAGGCCTAAAAATTACATAGTCAAATTATTTTAATTTATATATGCCAGCGACAACAAATAACAGTTATATAAATAGTATCTTGTGCGCTCCCAAATAAAATCTACAGAAAGCTTTCAAACGCTTCTACGGCGCGAAAGGTTTTACCGTGACTGATTGCACGAAGAAAAGCTTTTTAACTATGAATGCTCGGCACATATTTAGGTTTGAAGGAGTATAAAGCTTTCTATTATCTTTTTAAAGCACAAAAAAGTTCTATCACGCCAACTGCGTTTTCAAAACAAATGAATCCGTTAAAGCACTGCCTGGATTTATTTTTTTTTATTTTTTTGTTTCATTGGAGTTTTAGAAATTTCAACAAAAAAAAAAACTACAGCTTAAAAAGTGCGCTCTCAATTCCCTCAGAGCTTATGTGTGTAAGCGAAGAGAAAAGCTTACTAATTTTAGTGATTTCGATGTGATGATCGAAAAATAGTTTTGTCTTACAAAATTTTTAACTTTGACTAAAATTTTTCTTATCGCATTTCTTTCTCTTTTGATTTTCTTAAAACTCTAATATTTACCTTCGAATTTTACTTTAATTCCAACTATCGTATATTTTCCGATTTTACGTTTAACGCTAATATCTCTCCACTAACCGTTTTATGCTTTTATTTTCTCTCTCTCTCTCTCTTTGCCGCTAACATTCCTCTATCACTCTTGCTCGCTTGCCTTCACGCACTATTCAACTATGCGCTCACTACCTAACACACGCTCTCTCTTACCTCTTATCCTGCTCTTTCTTATTTGCCAATTTTATTGCCAATTTATCCCTAACTTTATATAGCATCAATATCGGTGTCGCATTATCAAAGCTTAGACACGCCCTACACTTGGACACGCACGAAATGAATGCGTACATCTTAAACAAAAAAAGAAAAAAAAGTAAACTGCTACTTATTTAATAAAACAACAAGCTCTACAAATAATTAATTAAATAAATAACTAAACGAGTGCTAAATAAAAAAATTTGTAAAAAGTAAAGCAACAAATTTTAAATCACAAATCTTCCAGCTAAACTAAGAATGACTTACCTGAATGTACGAAGTAAATATGTAGTTTGTGGAACGAAAAAGTGTTTACTTTGCTGCACCAGAAATTATTATTTTGCTGAAATTTCGTCTGTGTTGTAAATCACTATAATCAAACCAACACCACACCACGAAACACACACACACAGTACCTAACATATTTATGTACATTACACAGATCATAAATTGAACAACATGCATTTTGTATAGTGGAAGCGATAACTAAACATAAAAAAACACTAACGAACAATGTATGCACATCTAATCGATAGCTGATAAATAGCAGAAAAAAAGATCTAAATCAATTTTCAATTAGCGCGCTATTTTTGAAAAGCAAAAAAATATTGTGAACTCCACCTAAACATTTAACACAGAAAACCGTAATACGTTACTACATAGGATCTTCATTCTCAGAGTACTCAGCAACAACAATTATTGAAAAATGGTAAGAGTACGTTCGTTTATTTCTTTTTGATAAAAAATTGTGTTCATTTGTGCTGTTCCGTTGCAAAATATTTGTTGCTGTTTCAATAGTTTTCGATCGAAGATTTGCATTGTTAAAATTCGAGTTTTTTTCTTACAAAGTATACTCTTAAAATACAATGTACAGATTCCAAAAAAACACAGACAGTTGCGCGTTACATAATGAAGTTTTTAATTTAAGCTTTAGTTTTTCAATACATATGTACAAGAATATATGCCTATACATACATACATTAGGATGGTACTTAAAATATCAACATCTAAGTTTTATAAAAGTGTAAAGACCTCCATGAAAGTTTCAAAATTTTAAGCTAATTTTTATGGGTCTCTATCAAGTTTAGAAAAATTTAAATTTAAGCGCAAAAATTCGGCAAAATTTTTACGTAAAATCTGATAAATTCGACATGTTATTAAAACTTATTCTTCGCTGAGTTATAATTGGTCAAATTCAATACTTTATTGAATTCTTTCAATGAATTTTTTTATACTCAATTCTTTCAAACCCCGTAGCAACCCTGCATTTTGTTTTTAATTTTGAAATTTTCGTGGGTACCTTTATTTTTTAGCACAGGTTTTTTCATACAACACCAGGGTAGATACTCAATGCATTGGTCGAAATGCCGCCCAAATATTCATTCATTCCCAGAGCCACCCTCCGACATATATTTCGACCCGCTGAATCCGAATGTGAGGTTCCTTTTGACTCGTCCACCCTCAAAATCTGGAGTATTGAGGTATGCGCGTTTTATTTTGCATCTTCTATGTTGAAGAAGAATCGAAAAGTGCCAGGCACTTACTATATGAATACCCCGAACAGGATTTTTAAACGATCTAAACACAGCGGCAAGGTTGAACATATGACAGCTCCTCAGATTTGCTGATACACTGGTTGAAAGAGGGGTTTTCGTGATCTCTGTGTTATTACAGACCCCATTTCATAGGCACACCTGCAAGCTAACCAGCAGACACTTGAACCTAACTTACCTAGCCTAGGCAGGAGCATATCGCCTCGTTTAGAGGCACAAAGTATTCTTTCTGGCTCTGATAGCAAAATTAAATTTACTAAGAAGGTTTCATGTCGGAACACGGACAGGGTCCAGGTAAATTACTCTTTGATTCATGGGTGCTGAAACCTCACTCGAACTACTGATACTTTTTTGGCTAAACTCCCTTGGGAAGCTATAAAATGCCTCCAGATCCTTTGCACTGCCAAAGTGGACATGAAACCATTTTCTTTAACAAAAATGAAAAAGTCGAAAAAACAAGAAAACGATTTACAAATACAAAATTTTTATCAAATCTCATGATATCGAAAAATTCGGAATAAATACAAAAACACGTGGGAAATAAATTGCTACATACCCGTATAACATATATACAGTGATTCAAACAAGTGTCCTTGATTTTTTTTAATATTCCTAAAGTTGTTCGAGATAATTTTTTTATTTTTTATTTTTTAATAAATATACCGTTTCAACCAGTTTAAAAATCGCTTCAGGCTTATATCGAAAAAAGTGCAAAAATCCTACACCAAAACAAAAATTCTCAAAAATGAACGGGATTTTCTAGCCGTTAGAAACCCGCACTTTATTAGACTTAATTTGTATGGGCTATAAAAATGCTTACCCTAAAATGATCTAAAGACTCCGATTAAACAGTTAAAATTTGTATGAAAATTTGTTGAATTTTCCTAAATTTTGTATCAAATTTTAAACTGTGACTTATATGGTTTTAGTTAAAGCTTGGACAAATTTTTTTTTTCAGAAATAAAAAAATGTAACTCGAAAAACATAATGAATATTAAAAAAAAAAAATCAACACGTGGTCACTTGGTTGAGTCACTGTAACTACATATATTGCATGTCTTTTAAAAGCTCAGAACTCACAATTTTTAGCATAATTTTTCACACATGCAAATATGTATATATGCTTGTAGTATGCATTTAACTATTTAAATATTTGCACTTCTTATTTTTGTTAACTCCTTGCATGTGTGTAATCAATGGAAGTTAAGTTGAGGATAAAGGATGTAATCCCTACACTTTATTGCATCACAGCTATTATAAAATGAACACATGAGTGAATCAATATTGAAAAATTACACATACAAACATAGTACATACATATGTATGCATGTAAAAGTATTTTAGTCGCGGAGAAATGTCCTTCTGTATTTAGTAATAATAAATAAGCGGCATAAAATTGGTCAAGTGCAAAATCAATAGCTGCTAAGGCATTCTTATAAGTCTTATAAGACGTGCAGTCACTTAAGAAACAAAGGCAAAACTTCATCATTTAGGTCCAAAGGAAAGAGAATCTGACTCTACAAATAGTTTGTCATAATCTAAAGTATTGCGCTGCACCCATACATACATACATACATATTTTAACTCAAAAGCTCAGCTTTTGTCATTGACTTAACAAAAGAGAAATTTCTCACGAAAAACCAACTAATGCTTGCATGTGTATGTGTGTGAATTTTCACCGACAACAAAGTAGTTATTGTAATAATGCCATAATCGATTGAAAGCGGATAGAAACCTGGTGAACCTTGAAATTAATTTTTGTGAAAGTTATGCTTTTGCCAACACGAACTATGCAATACTTGCAAAGCAAACAGTCGAAGCATGAATAGGCGGAATAGTGAATGTTTGTATGTACATTAGGGTGATCCAAAATAAGTATAATCGGATTTTTGATATTCTCACCCCTTAGGATTGTGCTATATCGAAAAAATATACCCCAATTTTTTATTTTGAAATACAAAAATTATTTAGAGGTCGCTCAAAGCGCTCAAAGTTTTCCATGTATTTTATATGGAAAAAAAACAACTTTTCGTAGAAATGGTATGGAAGTCTTGAAAATCAATATTCTTCGTTCGGAAAGCTCTGGTTCTCTTCATGAGACCTCCAATAACAGTAACCAATCGTTTATTTGACCATTTTTTAATACTAAAGTTTTTTTATTCATCCACCCATTGCATTTTTAGAAATTTTCTGGGGGCTTTTGGGCGAACCTACTATATATAATTTTAGTTACTTTGAAAAAATGGGTAAGTAAACAATTGCGTATTATGATTGGGAGCCTTCTGAAGAGAAACGGAGTTTTCCGATCGAAAAATATTGATTTTCAAGAACTTCATACCGTTTCCACGAAAAGTTGTTTTTTCCAAATAAAGCGTTTTTAGCGATCTCTAACTATTTTTTGATTTCAAAATAA